TCAGAGCCATACTTAACGGAATATTTGATAAGCAGCAGAGCAAATATAACACGAGATGTGGTATTTACTCTACGACCCTACAATATCATGTTATTATAATATATTAAAATTCTATGTACAGATCAGCCAAAAAGTCTATCCTGTGGTGACATATTCTTATCTGGCCACACTTGTGCTAATATTTTTAGTCACTGATTTTCTGAGGTAAGTTGAAAATGTATTTGGATAAGCTGAAAAAATATTTTCGTATTCACCTATTAAAGCTTTAATTTCTTTTTCAAAATTGATGCACTTGTCGGTTTAAATCTCTGAATAAGTGTTTGGCAACTGATAATTCTATAAGAGATCTTATATAATTGTTTACTTTAAAATAACCGCAGTTTATTCAACTGAATGAATTTGATTTTATAACATTCTTTTTATATTCTCTTTTTAAATATTTTGTTGATAAACGTATACAAGATGGTACTATCAGACTAATTAAATTAAATTTATGGTTATATTTTTGCGTTTGTCAGTTGGCTTCAACCTTATATAATTCGTAAAATATTTAATCTTTAATAACAGACTATGTATGTACATATATACATACATAAGTATATCACAAAAATGTATCTGATCAAAGTCAAGTAAAAATATTTTTGAATCATTTCAGATATATGTATAGTATACATTGTATACATATAATATATAAGCAATGCACATTTGAAGGGTATTACACCTTCGATTAACCTAAGTTAACTTAATCTTAAATTATTATTGAACTTTTTCTCCACACTGTAATTATTCTGTTATTTCTTTTTATGTTACGTGTTCTGTAGCCGCAATGCCTGGCGTTGCATCTGCCAAATCGTGTTTCAATGGTGTTAATGTGTTGTGCCTTACCGGTTCGACATGGTGTGTTATAACAAAACGCCTTTTAAGTAAAAACAATATTAAAATGATTCTTACGTCAATATTGAACACATGCTTGTGATTTGAAAAATAATTTATTTATATGTATATGATGTTTGAATTTTTAACATAAAACGATAAAAAGTAAGCTAAGTCAGTCCAATGATTCTAAACTATCTGCTAACGGTTTAGCGGTTATCTGATGAGCAGCTTATAGATTGGGTAACTAATAGATTTTGCATAGTATATGCCTGTATTAGGACCTTCTGTAGGAATAAAAGCAGAACTTTACAAATTATCACGTCTTTACGTACTGTGGTTTGGACATGATGCGGGCACATAATGAAATGGCGTTTCAGTTTTATAAAAATGAATAAGATTATATAGTACTTGTAGATATTAGTGTTTACCTAATAGCCTAAGTTTACATATGTATATACATGTACATACATTCAGTGAAGCCAAAAAATGTATACAAACATATACATATGTATATCTTTGTATCGTACATGCGTATATACTATGAGCATTTAGTTACAATATACATTTATGTATATTAATTATTTTAACTTCTAGCACTTATATGTATGTATATAATATACTCGTATGTATATACGTGCTACAAATAAAATTGAAATAACTTAATGTATTTCCATATTTCTGCATACAGGTACAAACCCTTGATTATATTGATGGGCTCTTGTGGCACAATAGTAGCATCTATGCTACTCTGGACCACCACATTAACTGCCTTGCAAACACTTGAATTTTTTTACGGTCTTTATTTAGCCTCCGAAGTGGCTTATTACACATATATTTACGCCAAAGTGGACAAACGGTACTACCCCAAAGTCACTGCCTATACACGAGCGGCCATGTTTATAGGCAAACTAGTAGCAGGCTTTTCCTCACAGCTACTCATTAATTTGAAGCTAATGAATTACAAATCGTTGCATTATATAACATTAAGCAGTAAGTATGAAATGAAAATACGAAACGATGCATGAAACTAGTGTGCAATTTTTTTATAGCTCAAATCTTTGCTACATTGTGGGCTTTCACTTTACCAAATGTGGATAGAAGTTTATATTTCCATCGAAAGCATGATGTGCAATCAACGGCAGCTGTTAACTCATCATCTGTGGAATTACAAGATGCAAAATCAATTAAAAGTCAGGACAAAGAAAATATTAAACCGATTTCACCTTTAAACTTGCTGTGGTCACATTTCTATAATGCCTACAGCAATTTAAAGGTAGTCCAATGGAGTATTTGGTACGCGATCAGTTTGTGTGGTTATTTGCAAGTCATCATGTTTGTGCAAGTGTTATGGATTGAAATTGCGCCGAATATGGAAATTGCTTGGAATGGTGCAGTTGATGCAGTATTAACAGCATTGGCCGCTCTAATGGCTTTGGCGGCTGGGCACATTCTTGCTGGAAGATTGAAACCACTTCACAGTTTATTAGTTTTGTCCATTTTTGCGGCAATGGAGGGAGGAGTTATTTTACTTTGTTGTCGGACATCGAATATATACATCTCTTACGCTGGCTATATACTTTTTGGCGCCTTCTATGCTTTTAGCATAACTGCAGCGAGGTATGTTAAAATATTTAAATGAAAATATTTATGTATATAATTTAACCATATAATGGGTATTTTTTTTTTCATGTTCAGCGCTCAAGTGGCACGTTATTTGGAAGAAGAAAGTTTTGGATTAGTATTCGGTGTGAATACTTTTATAGCGCTGACATTTCAAACACTATTAACAATAACGGTGGTTTCAAACTCTGGTTTATCTTTGGACGTACGTGGCCAGTTCACCGTGTACGCATTTTACTTCATCGGTGCGAGTGTTATTTCCATCTTATTTGTGGCTGTAGAATATTTAATTAAGAAAAGTACAGAAAAGCCCACAAATATAGGTCTAGAGTAATTTTTTTGTGATACTTATTTAAAAACAGAGTAGCTCGAGTTGTGTAGGTATTTAGATAAAGTGATGATCTACACAAAGTTTTGTGCGTACACGAATAAAGATGACTCTCCAAATAAAGACTTTATCAGCACGCTGCAATATTTGCGCACAAAGATAATAAATTATTATATAAGTGGCTCGCAGCTTATTTTTATGATAAATTGAATCAGTTTACTTGCCGTTAAATGGAAAATAATAACAATTAAGAAAGAGAAAAGTTGATTAATATACACATATTTTACAATGTTCTACTAATAGTAATGGAAGTACAGTCTTATATTTACAAAAGCATTAATTACAGTTAGTTTTAATTTTTATATATATTAGATCCCCAAAGGGATGTTATAGTGTAATAACATTCACATATACAAAATATTCCATACAATAACTTTATGTTGATCGGTCACTTTGTTAGGCTATAATATTTGCATCTCAACAATTTGTTCGATATTTTACTGTTGCCTTGGATAATAATTTGTACCAAGTTTCGTGAAGATAGCTCGTCAAACATAAACGTTTTCTGCATAAGGACATGATTTTGATAGTTTAATTTACATACTATGTGGCGGCTATATACTATAATGGTTCGATTTGAACAGTTTCTTCGGAGATTGTACCATGGACTTGATTTTGATCGTTCAGTTTGTATGACTACCAACTTCTTGGAAGAAAAGAACGTACGCTATATGTTAGATTGATATCTCAAAAACTCAAGGCTTAATTATATATAGATAGATAGATAAATAATTGACGAATGCACCGCGACCATAGGTCTATTTTGCCCTCTCCCGACCCTGTCTCTTATACACATCTAGATGTGTATAAGAGACAGCTATATGTTAGATTGATATCTCAAAAACTCAAGGCTTAATTATATATAGATAGATAGATAAATAATTGACGAATGCACCGCGACCATAGGTCTATTTTGCCCTCTCCCGACCCACTTAGCCCCAGCATATAGACAAAAGTCCAATATACTGCTGGGTGCTAGTGAGTCGATGTGATCCCTATCTGAAAACATGGATCCAAGGGCCTCAACCTGTGTCTGCAGACTGCTATGTAGTCGATTAGCAGGTGTTTCTTTTTTTCAGGCCTGCCCTGCCCCAATTCCCTTTATCACTTTAACGTGCTTTCCCTCAGCATTAGCTCAAAAGTGGAGTCGTTCCACTCATTCTTGCTGCCGAGGGTAACCTTAAACTTCTTCGTGAAGTTAATTGCTTTGGTGATGCTATCCTTCGGGAAGAGGGCTATTGGAATGTTGCCACTTATCACCACCATCCTCTGGGACGAGATTACCTTGCCTTTGCCACACCAATCTGCTGTTATTTGTAGAAGAGCGTGCTTGGATACTTAACCGATCACCAAATGAAGCGGTGTTCCAGTAAAACCTTCAGAGCTGGGCAAAGTTCGCATTGCGCCCGTCATGCAGACTCAGGCTAGTCGCTGCAGCTTCGATAATTGGGTTTCTACCGAAGCCTGCGACGCTACTGACACCGCATCGTACGTGATTATCGGTTGCACAGTCATGGTGTACAACCACCTAACGATCTTAGGCTTACAGCCCAGGATTTTCCTGCCAGCCATTCTATGTATATATACAGTCTAACATGTTTAAATTGACTCAGCTCTTCAAGCTGGTCTAATATATAGATGTATATATACATATATTTTTATATATAGTATCTATAGGGTCTCCGTTCCCTTTTTGTTACAAACTTCTTGGTATTTTCGAAACTTTTTGTATATTTACATAAAATTAAACAAAATTTATTGGTAATTGATTCTACAAACCGGTTTTTTTTATAGGCGAGGGGACGACGAGGAAAAAACGGTTGTTGTTGTTGTTGCAGCGGGTGAATTCTGTCTAGTTGACAGTTCTTGGCCGGATAAAAATCCGGGTCCGTTCCGGTGTAGACCCGACTGTCTAAACTGCTCGGTTGGCACGGTTTGGATTCTTGTTCGTAACAGTTGTGTTTTATAACAATACACGTTCTCTGCATAAAGTGACACCAAAAGAGAATTTGTTGAAAAAGAGGGACAAAAGGGTCCCATGTCAACGCCATCTATTTTACCTATTTGAAAGGAATTACCCTATAAAAAGTTACATCACTATTCGTAGCAAATTTTGTGACAAGCTACTCGCAAATCAGCTGTTATAGCGCATTCTAACTCGTATGTAAATAATTCTTTAAAAAATACTTTTTAAATATATAATAGTTTTAGAAAAAAGAGTAATCATTTAGGAGTATGAATGACATAAAACGTTTAAAGGATCAACAACGCGATAAACATCCTGGTTTTGACTCATATATAAATTGCATGACTAGAGCGCTTTTCTCAGGTCTTGCTTCGTTTTGCTTGAGTAAGTTTAATTTCCTTCCTATTTATCAATTGCATAATTTATAATTAAACTGTAATAACAAATGCTTTTTTCGTACAATACTTTGTTATTTAGCTTTTTCAGGGAGTTACTTTGCACAAAAAGTTGTACGTACAAAAATTAACTACCCTATTCAATACAGCGTGCTAGTGTCGGCATTAGCGGCTATTAGTGTATCCTATATGACCACTACAACGCGCACTAAAGCTTGTCAAGCATCTTGGATGGCAGCGGAAGATAAGCATTCTGTGCTGAAAGAAGACACTTATTAAAGGAGTTAAAGTGAAATTAAAAAAAAAGATATAATATATATAACATACACTATTTATTAATTATATTTGAATATATTATTATTACAATGTGGTTTAGAAATTTTGCAACACTTACCAAAGGAGAAACTTTTTTGCTTCTTAGAACTTTTCCGTTTAAGTTCAATGTAGAAAAAAGTTTATTACGTGATTTTAGGGATAATGATATCTCAATTCGATTAAAATATGTGCAACACAAAGGCGTTAAAGGTATTCGCAACAGAAAAGGTGCTTACGAGTCGATTTCAAGAGATGAAAACAGTAGACAAACTGCCATGACCAAAGATATAGGAAACGACGGGAATCATGATGAATCTGTCAACTTGGATGATCGGTAAATAATACAACAGATTCATACCATTTATACACATATTTGGATTTATCATTTATTATATTTTTCCTTTCATACAAATCTGCCTCGTTATATTTACTTGAGCGTATTTTGTAGAGCATATGAAGAATTGGTCAGCAACGTCATCAACATTTCCCCCTCGTTTTTATCTCAAAATGTATTTATTATACAACCATATGTCAAATGGGGAAGTGAGCGAAACACCTTAAGTACTCCCGATGATCAGTTAGAAGAGGCGAATGCATTGATTTCTTCATTGCCCAACTGGAACGTTGGTCACTCAATGAAGATACCTCTCGAAACTCTAAATCGAAAGGAGCTTTTCGGCAGCGGGAAAATTGAAGAACTTAAAAAACTTCTGCAGGAGCACAATACTAAACAGACTTTAACATGCTTATTTATAAGCAAAAGCACATTATCATTTGCTCAAAAACGTTTTCTGGAAGATACATTCAAACTGCCGGTGTTTGATCGTTATATGATTGTCATACAAATATTACGTTTGCATGCGACTAGTGCAGAAGCACGTCTTCAAGTAGCCATGGCTGAGATCCCCTATCTTTGGGCACAAATGAAAGATGCAAATCCATCGCAAACTCGAAAGCAGGGTTATTTGTTTACTGATACACAAAAGCATATTTTAAAAACCCGCGAACGTAAGTTGAAACAGGAATTAGAGCGGATAAGAGATCACAGGTTTTTAACATCTTCTTTAGTGTTAATAACATTAATTCATGATCGCATTTATTTTTAGGAAACTACTTCGTAATAAGCGCAAACAAAAAAACTACCCTGTGATTGCTGTGGTTGGATACACAAATGCCGGTAAAACTTCACTAATTAAGGCCCTTACCCACGAGCAAAGCATACAACCACGTGATCAGCTATTTGCTACACTTGACGTAACAGCACATGGAGGCTTTTTGCCGTGCAATCTCGAAGTTATCTATATGGATACGGTGGGTTTCATGTCCGATCTTCCCACTGGTTTAATTGAGTGCTTTGTGGCGACACTCGAAGATGCTATGCTGGCTGTGAGTATTCCTTCACATAATTATCAGTAACCTTTGACAAAAAGCAATAAATTGGACAAAAATGTCTCCCTCCCAAACAGGATATTATTTTACACGTACAGGATGAATCACATAGATGTAAAGAAGCACAGCGGCAGCATGTGCTAGCTACATTACAATCACTTAAAAATTCCGTTGCTGTAAATCAAGAAATACCTCCTATTATAAACGTCGCCAACAAAATCGATTTGACGTCCTCCCGCGCACATCTAAAGCCGTCCAAAGATATGTTTTATGTATCAGCAACTGAACGTACAGGTCTCAAAGAGTTGTCATTGGAAATAGAACGACAAATACTGACTGTGACGGGGCGGCGCAAAATAACAATGCGTGTGCAGAATGGTGGACAAGAGGTCGCATGGTTGTACAAGAACACCGCTGTAACAATTGTGAAAGCAGATAGTTCTAGCGCCGAACATTTGCTAATGACGGTGGTTATAGATGAATTGGCAATGCAGCAATTTAAAAGGGAGTTTTTATCAGCGAATTATTCATAGCAGGAACACATAAATTAGAACCACAAATTGTGATAAACAAATAGAAATATATTTTGATCTGTAATTCAAACGATACCACTTAATTGCTATTTCAATAAGGTATGTTACTTTCCCATTCATATATTTACTTATATCAATATTTGCAAATATATTGATACACATTTAACTTTAAACTATTAAACTATTTTATTTTCAATATACGGTTATATATGTAGCACAATATAAAGAAAAAAAAAATATATATATATATATATTTCATATAAACGTCGTCATATAAAAACAAAAATTGCAAATACCAAACGAATTACAATCAAATTAACTCGTGTATTACAAAACCATCACAGTTTTTTGATGACAACCTTGTCATCATCATTATTTACTATAAAAAAAACTAAAATAATATGCAGAAAATTTATTAAAATATTTTGTGCCTTACTAATAACTAAAGAATTCAATAATTAGATAATCAGAAAAAATAAATTATATGGCTTATTAAATGCTTATAATGCATGTGGCAACAGTAAGTAGTAAGATTTGTGTGTATTTTGATATAACATCTTATTGCGATTTCTTATACGATTTATATAATATACATACATAAGTACATATGTATATACAAAAATGAATAGCTATTAAACATATATGCTTTTGCAACCGTGATACAAAAAAGGGATTGCCAAAAAATGATAGGAATGATTACGATTCAATTTTATTTTAAAATATGCTTCTTTGTGCGTAATTACAAGTATTTCAAAATAGAAATTATTGGTGCCCCTGACCTTTCAATTTCCCTTTCCTGTTCATGAAATTTTTAGTTTTATATTGGAAATAAATGTGGCAACCAGATGATCGTTAAGGGAGTAACATTTTTGAATTTGTAAATGCATAAAATCTCAAGTTCTGTCTAAAATTCAAGTCGTACTTAGCAAAATTGAAGAAGAATTTTTAAAACTGTCTTTTGAATGATATACATCACTTTAAAGCAAAAATCATAGTTCCACCCGAGTTATCCCTACTCCCCGCTTAACCAAAAAATTATACTGCATGCGCGAGAAATATTTGTTCAATGCACCTATGTTAATAACTAAATAAACAAACCGATGAATAAACGCATTGTTGGTAAAACAAAAACTAATACTAAAAACACAATAGCTACGTGGCAATTCCGGACATGGGAAAGCAGTTGATTTTTGCTACGTTGTTTTAATAGTTATAATTTAGATGGCATAGAGTTCATTTGAACGCTTGCTACCCGGTAGTATTGTTTGAATGGCAACAGCTGACAATAGCATAATAATTCAGCTTCCAGTGTCCGTAATGGTTTGCCAGGAGCATGCTGCAGTATTCCGCTCTCTTTGTTCTTCTCTATATAGCCAGTTTGTTGAAATGAGTTTAGTGCAATGTTCAAATTATCTAGAGCTAAACAGTAGGGATGCACATTGGTGACATGCTGTTGTTGCATAAGGTTTTCTATGCGCTTTTGCATGTGTATGAGAACATCTTTAGAACTGAATTCATCATATTTGTTATTGGAATGTGCGGAGCAAGTATCAAGTGGAAACTGTTTGAAATAACATAAAATTTATTGTTATTAGTATTTATTGTTTATAAAATATTACATTCCTGTAAGTAAATTTAAGGTATATTGCTTTTACCTCATTTACGGCCACAGCTAATTGGTAGTAGACGCATAGAAAAGGTGCTAATGAAGAAAGTATAACTTTCATACATTCATTTTCATTAATGGATATTTGACCGTTATGTGACGATATTTTTAGCATGCCATGCCTTGATAGTAGCAGCAGATTTCTATTGAATTCCTGAAACATAATTCAAGAATGGTTAATTTTAATATTGTCTGCCTGTATTAATGTCATTAGTTCAATGACTCTCACCTCCATATCTCGATTTGACTCAATTATAAATTCGTGCTTAAAAATGCCATCCAATAAAGTAACACGTTGCAATAAGTTTTCTACTACTTCTTCGTAAGTGCTAGACAAAGCTGTTGTTTTATCATCTCTGCCTTTTTGTTGGTCTGCCTGCAATTGCAATGCTGCTAATATAAGATATGCTGGTCGCGCAAGCCAAAACATGCAGGGATTTATGTAAAGCTGTAGTGCCAATGTGGGCACTGCCACTGCCATGATCTGTGGCAAAAGCGCGTGGGCCTTCAGTCTTTTAGTATCGATCTCCTGTGCAAGTTGTGCAGCAGCGACTTCAGTGAATTGCAGTCGGCCATTTTGAAAATTCACGATATTCGAATGTATTTCTACGGTTTCAATTATCTCAAATTTAAGCCGGTTCATATCGGTGGCCACATGTGCACCCAATTCTTCGAAAATTCGCTTTAGCTCAGCAATGCCAAGTGCTAATTCGTCAATGTTAACCGAACGATCCACATACAATTGACTAGCATAATATAAACACAGCAAGTTAAATGTACTAATAACGATGCCTCGCTGTTGTTGGTAAATTACCTATGTTATTCATTCAATGAGATATATAAATGTAAAATATGCAAATATACACTGTTAAAAATATACTTAAATATATTCTTACCTCATTGCCTAGTTTTTTAATTAAATCCAACTCTTTTCTGTCCAGTTTTTGCAAGTGCGCACCCACACTAGCACGCTGCATTCTATCTGCTCCTGTGTGTCCAAAAAATTTGCGCGCAGATATTGGTGCACCAAAATCTAGGTACATTTTTCCGAAGCGTTCGTCAATAATTTTAAGTGCTTTAAAAAATCCTTTTGTCGTTTCTTTAGGTTTTGGCAAGCCAAGCAATTCATAAACAAATAATTGCTCTTCGAGTAAGCGTTCATAGGATATACTTACTGGCACAATGGTTACATCTGTCACTTCGCCCGTAAAGTAGGGCAACAGTGCCATTGATAGCAAGCCTACCTTTGGAACGAGTGCCTTGAAGTTGCGGCTGCGCGTGCCCTCTATAAAAAATTCAACGCCGATGTGATAAACAGATATCAATGCATACATATATTCGCGAAAAATATCCCAGTAAAGCTCATCATTTGAGAATGAGCGACGCATAAAGAATGCACCGGTTTTTCGTAACATTGTTCCCATGCCGAACATTGCGTGAAAATCTATAAATCAAACAAATTAAAATCTTCTAAATTAAACACACAATATACAAAATTGTATATTGTATTGTATGTAATTAAGCCCTATGAGGCTCTATGTTCCACCTAGGAACTACGGGAGAATAAATATATACTATATATATGTAATTAAGCAGCAACAACATCTTTACTCACCCATTCCTGCCGCTATACCAGGTATTTCAATATCATAGTAGAAACAAATATATGACATTAATACAAAATCCATGTAGCTCCGATGACTGGGCAAATAGCAAACGGGGTTTCGTCCCAATTGATCCCGAACTCTCCGAATACTACGTGCATTAACGTAAATCCCTGATAGGATACGTTTTGATATAGCTGTTATAGCCATACCACACCATCGTATAATCGCTAAATTACGCTCCAATCCAATTTCATCTATTATATCTTTCACCTGCTTTTCAATATGCTTCACCGAGCAGTTATTTATTTGAGCATAATGTTCGATAATTTTGCGTACTTTCTCACTGCGAAATACGTGTCGTTTCAAAGACTGAGGATTCAGATAATGCTCGAATTCATTAGCCACTTGAGGTTTATACTCTTTCGTCATCACCACCTCTTTACCTTTAGCGACGATATTCTCAAAATCATCCATGTAAGTAGCGGCACTCGATGCTGCCCTAGAAGTTAAGAGGTCTGGAGATGATGGGGATATCCCCGTCATCTTTTATCCTTGACAACTTGTAAGTTCCAGCTAAAAGATCAATGGAAGATATACCCGATTCTGCAAATGCACGTATTTTAGTGAAAAAGAAACATAAATAATCAACATAAAATATTTAGCGAAATTTTAAATTTTAATTTGCAACAAATTTATCTAGTATTAATATTGTCGATTTCATAAACTTAAACTGAAATTATATTGCATAATGTGATAAAATGCTAGATATACGATACTGTTACACAGATATGATATTTCGATTGGCATGTAAACCTAAATTAAATTAAAAATTTTCGTATCAAATACCAAATGCCAATTATGCAGCAGTACGCAAAACGTATTATTTTATTTTTTTTAAATTTATTTCTATTTAGTAAAGTATACCTGTATAAAAGCAACTTGAATGTGTTCGTATATTCTGTTGATTGTTTTGCACCCATAGTTATTTTATTGCTTGCTAATGTTCACTGCCATAAAATTTGTAATTGCGTATATGCAGAGATCTTACAATTACTCTCTGTAGTAGCTTAACTGTTGCTAACATTGGTGCACATACCCAAATATATAAATAAAATCGACTTGATATTTGATTTTCTATTTATCCATTTGTTTATAAATGGACATATACTACTATATGGAAATGTTCACTTTTGGATTCCTTCGCCAGTTTCTTTTATCAGAATAATTGTTTACAGAACGTTATTTTAATGGTTCTAATTCTATAAGCTCAAGTGATATTCTAAAGTAAAAGGCGATTATGGTAAAGGTTCTAACCAAAGGTTCGAATTATTTTAATGTATTAACCCAATAAGTTCAGTTCAATTTAGTTTAAATCGTATATATAAACAAAATAAGATAATCATGCAAAACTTTATGCACATAATTTTTAAATTATATGAGTGTATTTTAGATTTTACAAAAACTCAAAAATGTATTCTATATATTTGCATTTAAGTTGGAAATTCTATTAGACAGGAAATATATATAAAATAGTATGTATGTACTGTGGTAACTAAATCCACAGACCTTAAATATATTTGAACTAGTTCATTGCAATTAATTAATTCAAAGCAAAGGTTGTTAAACATAACTTACATTTAATTCATTAAACCAAAGGTAGCCGGTACTAATTATAAAAATACAAATGTATGTATGTATTAAACTACTGTTCAATTGCACTTGTTATTACCGAAGCTCTTGCATTAACTTTGATATCGTTTACAGCAATGAATAACAACAATGAAAGTAGAATTTACTCTCTTTTAATTTTTGAAAGACAATGCAATTTAAATATTGCCTTTATTGCCTAGCTACAAAGCATGTTGTATACATCTTAAAAGTAATATATATATTTCACACACAACTAGCATTATTATTTTGAGAATGTTATTAATGATTTTACACCATTGCTTATACAATAAATTTTTGTTTTCCCCAAAGTGTTATTTTGCAACCAAAAAACTGCATTTCTATTACGCATTAAAATTGAATAAATTGCCCACGTAAAGTAATAAAGTTAGCAAACTATGGTACATAAACACCTTCACAAATGCGGCATATATTTTTGTAAAAGCAAATGTTCAGAGCTTGCATCGTACCACTGTAGTAAATTAATATTCCTACACACGTATAAAACATATATACCTGAAATAGAGGAAATTTATGTATATTTTTGTTATTCACTTTTTCGCTATTTGAAAAAAAAATTGAACAGAAGATGCCAGGATACTCTCAACTGATCACGTTAGGAAAGGTTTGTCATGCACACCCACCAAATATGCAAAACTACATATAAACGCATATACATACATATGTATACTAACGTTTGCATTCAATTTAGTTGAATATTTCTGCATACCTTTACGTAAGTTTATACACTTTAAGATGAAATTGTTTGCTTAACTTTTTTGGATGTTAAATATTTAGTTATGGCTTTAATGTGAATAATTAATTGAATGCAAATCTCGATAGCATCGAATTCCGGTTACGCGTTTCGCGTTTCGCGACAGAAAATCCATGACAGAAACTTAAACAATAGCAACAATATGAAGAAATATCAGGTGTAGCGAAATAACACAGCAACGATAACAAATCGCAAAATAAATCTACGGCGAATTGAAAAGTGTTGCTTTTCTTAAATCCCTACAATTACACATATAGTATAAGTAAATAATTTGAAAATTTGAATAACAAGCAACAGCTTTCGATTATTCATAAATGCATACATATTTTTCAAAAAATCTTAAGTAGAATCATTTTTACAATTTATTCTCTACATATTACAAAATTGTTATCAAATCCATGGTGCCACATACCATGCTCAAATCGGACGATTTAAGAAAACTGACAACACTGTATATTAATGTATTCCTAATCATCATTATCTTATAGTATCATTCATACTTATTGACTATAGTGAAACCAGGTGAAACCAGCCAATTAAATTGAATGGAGCTTCACATAAAAAAGTGCCAACGTATTTTCACACACAGCTTTTTACCTGCCTGCAATATCTATTAATAAATAGATGCATATACATAAGCAGGGTTTCGCACTGATTAATTGTATTATTATAATTACGTTGTGGTTCGTTAAAAATTAAATTGTTAAGTTTTGCACGACAACGATGAGTGTTCCAAAAAAGTCGACCCTCTCTACACTTATACAGATTTTGCATATTATTTCGGATACAATTTTGGAATTTATACTTGGATGGATTCTGGGTGTTAAACGACATGTATCAGCACCACAAAATAAGGATTACGAAGAACTACTATCGTCCAGCGCAGTGGAGCTTGCTAGCCTTATAAGGGAACGAAAATTACAATCTTATGATCTAGTTAAAGCTTATTATGAAAATTTACTTGTAAATCGTGATTTAAATGCTGTTGTTGACGGTCCATTTATAGAAGCAATTGAGGAAGCCAAGTTGATTGATGAACGTTTTAAAAATGGCGATATTACCGACGAGGAGCTAAAAAAAAAACCATTTCTTGGAGTACCGTTTACTACAAAGGATAGCACTGAGGTAGAAGGCAAATTGCATACACTCGGTTTGGTATCACGACGAAATGAACGTGGTTCAAAGGATGCCGAATGTGTGCGATTAATGAAAGAAGCTGGAGCTATATTATTGGCAACTTCAAATGTACCAGAAGTTAATAAATGGATTGAGACTCGCAATATGTTGATCGGTCAAACTAAAAATCCATATGACTACAGACGATCGGTTGGTGGTTCTTCGGGTGGGGAAGCTACTTTAATCAGTGCTTGTTGTACCGCATTTGGATTGGGCACAGATATTGGTGGCAGCATTCGTATACCAGCATTTAACTGTGGAATATTTGGGCATAAACCCACCAAAGGTGTAGTCAATATGCGTGGATGTACATTTCGAAGTGGAGATGAAGAAAACACAATGGTTGCCGCTGGACCAATGGCTCGGTATGCTGACGACTTACTTGAATTAATGAAAGTATTAACTGAACAAAAAATGGTTAAGGAACTGCAATTAGAAGAAACAATAAATTTAAAAAGTTTGCAATATTTCTACATACCATGTAATAACATGATACAATGTAATCCCATTGGAAAAGACGAACAAAATCTCATGATGAAAGTTTGTGAACATTTCACAAATTTATCAGGCTCCGATGTTAAATTAGCTACATTGCCGCATCTAGATATGACTGGAAAAATGTGGCGATACTGGATGACACAGGAGCCAGCAAACTTCAACAAATTATTGGGTAATGGAGAGGCACTTAATCCGTTTATCGAGTTATTCAAAAAACTATTTGGACGGAGTGACTTTACAATGGCAGCGATTTATTCCTTATTAGATGCTTTATTGCCACCTGAAAATGAATATAAAATACGGGAGGCAACAAGGATGTGTAAAAAAGCACTAGATGACCTACTCAGGGATAATGGTGTACTATTTTTCCATAGCTCTCCACGCACCGCTCCATTCCATTATTATCCTTTAGTCAAATTCACCGATTTTAGTTACTTTAGTATATTTAACGTTTTACATGTACCAGTAACTCAGGTGCCCATGGGTTTGGATTCAAGAGGCATGCCTATGGGTATCCAAGTTGTGGCTTCAGAAATGAATGATCGATTATGCCTACATGTCGCCAAGGAGTTGGAAAGAAAATTTGGAGGCTGGGTGAAACCATACAAATAAATAGAAGATTTCTACATGTTGTTTAAGTGTACTTTTTACTGTGTGACCACTGAAGTTAACTTCACTTTGAAACAAAGTTAAAAAATACGTAGGCTAAAATAGTAACTGGATGATGGGTTTACATTAAATTTTTTGATTAAATAAAAT